AGGCCATTCTCTGGGTAGGGGCGCTCTGGGAAAGGAGCAGGGTCAGAGAGAACTCAGGCTCAACATCATGAGCTTGAGATTCTCATCCATTCAGACAACTCGGTGGTAATGTGAAGTGTGCTATGAGATAGTTTCCAGGTTTGACCTGTGGCTCAACGACAATTCCATCAGCAGCATGGTGTGGTCTCTGCCTTCCTTTTAAAGTTTCTCTCCAACCACTCATCCCCTGACTCATTCCACTCCTGCCCTGCTTGTTGTTCCTGTATTGTGCCACACATGCCCCTGGGCCTTTGCACTTGTTGCTTCCTCCTTCTGATTTGCTTCTCAGATCTTAATACGCTTCAGCCCAACTCCTTTCAAACATTTCTTCCACAGGGAGGACTTCCTTAAGCACTCTATTTAAGATACCAACCCCACTGTCTGTGCCAAAATGTCCAGAAGAACTTTCTGTGAAGATAGAAATATCCTATATCGATTTCATGTTAGTGCCAAAACACAGCTGCATGAGCTCTTGAAATGTACCTTGGAAGCATGGATAGTGGGCTGGGCAACACAGCTTTATCCCACTATACTTCTTTTTAACACTTAGCTATCCAACATTACCTATTTATCTGAATATTGTTTTCAAATAAAAGTGAGTTTTCATAAGAGAAACAACTTTTTCTGTTTCATTCAGTGCTGGACTCCTCACTCCTGAAACAGTACCTGGCACATGCTAGGCACCTAATTAATACATTTTTTTTAGATGCAAAGCCACAGGTCTTTATTAAAGAAAGAAAGAAAGAAAGAAAGATTGTACAGGGAGTGATTAGAGAAAAGTGATCCAGGCCATAGCAGGTTTTATGCTACTTTTTGGGCAGTTTGTGGGGTGGAAACTCAATGACTCTTTCTGATATTAATACATGTTGAATGAATATGGTGCGTTAACTCAGTAGAAAAAGCTGGAGTTCTATGTAGACTAGAAAAGTATATTGGAGGCATGTCATGTGACTGGTCCCACAGAGGACCTTGTCTCCCCTCATTTTTTTTAAGTCATTTTTCGATTATGTATCCTTTACCATGGAAATGTAAATTGATTTTAAGCACTGGCATTTTAGTGTGGTTTGGTTTCTAAGATCAGTTCAGTCCATATGACCAGCTGGAAGTGGATCTTGGAGGGAATGGTCAGAAGGAAGTGAGGAGTTAGCAAAGATGAATAAGCGTTCCCTTCATCTTATATTTTAAGGGCTCTTAGCTGTCTGGTCTGTGCTCTGCTGCCATCTTCTGTCAGAGAAGAAAAATACTGGAAGATCTTTTTTGTTTTGTTGAGACAGATCTTGCTATGTAGTTCAGGCTGGTCTCGAACTCAAAATACTCTTGCCTTAGCCTCCCTAGTGCTTGGATTACAGGTGTGTAACTGCCACACCTGTAAGGACAGAGTGGAGGCTGATTGTTCAGAAAAATAAAGATTCTCTTTGAGGCTTTGAGAGTGTCCAGATCACCTGAATTCGACACAGGAGACTTGGTTGTGGCTGGCAAAGGGGAGGGGTGCAGACAGACCAGACATTGCAAGGCTGTGTACAGCAATCTCAACACCCTTTCAGGTAGAGGGACTGAAAACAGAGCCCCAGCAGGGACATGATGCAGAACAGCCAGTTCAGATAAACCTCAAGATAGAGACACAGAGATGTGGGGTGAGGGCAAGGTGAGATGTGCACAGGGGACTCTGGGAAGAACCACTATCAAGCCAGGAAAGCCTTCAAGGCTTTCGGAGGTAGGGATAATGAAGTGGAACATTTAATGGGATCTCTGGCTGCCACCTGATGCCTGGTCAGCTGAGAGTCCAGCACCGTGATAAAATCATACCTGGCGTGTGGTGTCAAAAGAGGGCATTTGTGGCCAGAAGAGGCACTCATGCCCTGGGGTCACCTGGAATGTTCTATGTACCTGAACCCCTCCAGGAGCTTATAGAAATGCTGGTTTTGTTTTGGTGGATCTGGTATGGCTGAGATCATTCACAAGCTCCCCAGTGATGTGGGTGGTATTAATCCAGGAGCTATGCCCAGAGTAGGGAGGAATGAGAAAGGTGTCGGGTCAGAAAACCAGGAGTCCCATAAGGATTAGCTGGGGGACCCTGGATGCTAACTCAGAGAAACTCAGAGAAGGCGAGCTGGGGGATCACAGTATTTGTTTCCCAACTTTACAAGGCATGTGTCTTTACATCACTCCAAAGGCAGATTTAGAAATGGATGGGATAGCATCCTAAATCAGTTCTGAATTTCCTCACAGGTGAATCTCTATAAAGTTACTGTGGCGTCTTCCATTTTGAAATTTCCTTCATAGGTGGAAAGATATTTTAGCCAAGTTTCCTGTTTGAATGGCTTTGATGGTTTCTGAAGTCCTACAGAGTCCAGGAGGACATCATTCAAAGATTAAGACAGGAAGTGTTCTGAAGTGAAGAATGTGAGATGCCTGATGAAAAACAAAAACCAAACCATAAACTCACCCAGTATGTGCCTTTCAATGCACTGAAGCTGCTGAGGTAGTGAAATAAGTGACAGCCTGGGGATATGAAATAACTCCTGACAGTGGATGATGGAGACAGAAGGACTGAAGACACTTTCCAGAAGGGATCCACATCACTGATCTTAACTATACCCGGGTCCTACTCAGATGGTGGCTGATGCTCCAGGGAAAGCCCAAGACTCACAGGGAAAAGCTGAACCATGAAGAGACAAGAACAGTCTAAGATATTTTAGACAGGCCCATTAAATAATTTAAAAGCAGATTCGGCATTAGCATCTGGACATTTAACATAATAAAATTTCAAAGTAAAAGTATGAATTGCCAGAACATTTCACCTGTTTCTACTCATTCAGTGGATCCAGGATTTGGAACTGGAGGTTTCCATGAGGAAGGGAATGTTTTGATTATTTTGCAACAGGAATATACATTTTAATTTGGTATATTCAATCAGCCAAATACTTCTAATGATAATCATGTGGTTGGAAATATTTACAAAGATTTTTGAGGGACATATTTTTTTCAACAGTTAGTCAGCAAATGTGATTAATGTAGATGATCCATTTGGTAATTCTAGGCACCATGCTATTTTGTTTTCCTTTCCTTTCAAACTAGATTTTCTGGCCTAGATTATTCTGTTATCCTCTTTGGGGCTATGTCTCTCTGTATGCAGACTGAACAGAAATGTGTTTTAATTCTAATTCTCTGACTTTCCACTTAGATTAGTTATGGAGACAGTGATGGAATTGTCTGGGTGACTCCAGATCACTGATAAAGACATATGCTACTTGGAGAGATGTCAGCTCACTGGCAGGAACCAAAGCAAGCAGAGAACTTATTCTGGTCAGGAGAAACTGGGAATGCATTGCTGAGTGAAATGATGGCTTATGGGTTCAGGGAGACCCAGAGTTCCCCTCTTGTCCTCCTGCCCACAAGTGCTGGCAGGGGTGTTGGGAACCTTTGCCCCATTCCAGTAGACATGCTATGGTGTGTGGCTGCAGACAAGTTCCATTCCAGTAGACATGCTATGGTGTGTGGCTGCAGACAAGTTGGTCATTTCTCTCATAGTTCTGGTGGCACCGGTAAGGCTCTTACTTGAATAAAATTGCCCAGATTTATCAGTTTTCACACAGATTAGCTCACCTGTGGCTTGAGCAACCAGCTTCTTCTTTTTTTATTTTTTGGTACTAAAATTTGAACTCAGGGCCTCATGTTTGCTAGGCAGGCATCCTACCACTTGAGCCACATCTCCAACGCTTTTTTTGCTTTTTGTCCAGGCCAGCCTCAGACCATTGATCCATCTACCTATGACCTCTTATGTAGTTGGGATGACAGACATGTGCCAATATACCTGGCTTGTTTGTTGAGATGCGGAGGGGAATCTCACTAATCTTTTGCTTGAGCTGGCCTAGAACCATGATCCTCCCAATCTTCACATCCCAAGTAGTTGGGATTACAGACATGAACCACTGTACCCAACCCTGAGTTATCAGCTTCTATAATGAGATATGGGGCATGCTCTTTGGTCTTACTTGGATACGTACCAACTAGTATTGAAGAAGACCAGAATTTTGACTTGTGCCTGGTTATTTAACTTTCCCCACAAATGGTATAGCAGTTCCTATGCATCTTGAACTTGCAGCAAGATATGCCTGGTTTGCCCCTTCATTGTTTGTTTGTTTTTCATGGGAAATATGGAATTCCTTTAAGCTTTATCATTCTTGCATAGTGACCTAACTACTTGCTTTGCTTACCTCTTGAGATTCATTTCTTTTAGGTTAAGTCCCAACATCTCCTAACATTATATGCAGATATCTTGAGAATGAAGGCAGACAGGACACACTGACCTGGCAGTAGTAATTGGTTTGCTATAGATTAGACAGGCAAACACCTGGACTTATTCAAAGGAACAAGACTCAGATGGAATGGGGTTTGATGGAGTCAAGGAGGGAGGAGTTAGCTGGGTGTGATGGTTAACATCAGTAATTCCAGCATGTGGATATTAAGACAGGAGGACTGAAAGTTCCAGGCTACCTGAGGCTACAAAGAGAGACCCTGTCTCAAAAAAACTAAACAATAACACCAAACAAATCTAGTCTATTCTCACCATGTCATTGATCCTTGTTCTAACTCAGTGCTGTCCAGTAGAACTTTCTGCATGTCAATCAGTGATGGAAATGTTTTTTGTCTGCCCTATACAATATGGTAGCCACAAGCCACAGAGGGCTATTGAATACTCAAAATGTGCTTAGTGCAAATGAGAAACTGTATTTTAATGAATAAGTAAAATAGCCACATTCAACAATATAGTGCTACCCTCTTGGGCAGCACAGTGAATCTAACTTTGAGTCTTGGGTTGAAAGTGTGAGTACTTGTTACTGAGATCAGGCTGGATCTGTCAATGCTGAGCTAAGTTGTGAGCTTTGTGAAGCTTTCTTAGTAGTTTTTCTTTGTTCTCATCAGAGTTTTGATGGTTCAAAGGCTTTGGTTCCTTACAGGTTCAGCGAAATGAGGACAAGTCTACTACCCTGAAACTGGCTGATTTTGGCCTTGCAAAGCATGTGGTGAGACCTATATTTACTGTGTGTGGGACTCCAACATATGTAGCTCCCGAAATTCTTTCTGAGAAAGGTAAGTGTTTCACATTGCTCTGTGAGACTCTAGCTTACCTACTAACAAATGTCTTAGTTTTAGTATTTAGTATTTTTAAATATGGAGCAGTTAAAAAATCTCAGAGAGTTGGAACTAGAACTTGGATTTGGATTTTAATGGATATTTGGAGCAGGCTTCCTTGACCAAAGCATGAAAATTTTCCTTATCAAGGCTGCGCTGTTATAGAGGGCGTGTGTGTTTGTGTGTGTGTGTGTGTGTAGGCAGGATGGTGAGATGAAAGATGGTGGGGAATTGGGAATATTGATTAAGCAAGTCATTTGTATCACTGAGCCAAGGCTACTTCGATGGGAAAGAATTGAAACAGTTCTTATGGCAATTGCTTAAAAAATTCTGTCACCAACTTAGCATTTAAAGGAAAAAGGGATCCCATTTCAAACTCTATGAATATTTATTATATATTATTTTTTCTGAATTTGTGAGGATCCAAGGAACTTTTAGGAATATACTCTATAAAATATATAAATAGGAAGTGATTACTATATTCTTCACATGTATGGATGACTATTTGACTGGTGTGGCACTGTAGAAGTTGGTTTATCCACCCTGGTAAAATAGGAAGGCTCTGGAGGGTTGTCAGTTTGGTGGTAGGGAGAAGAGAAGGCTAGTCTCCCAGAAGCAGAGGTTATTGGGAAGCACAGATGAGGAGACTGGAGCAGGCATAAGGCTGGGGAGTAGGGACTTGAGAGGACCAGGGAGAGGTACAATTGGGTGGGCAGATTGAGTGTAGTTCTACCAATAAGGGGAGGTTGTTTAGACTTGGAACGGCCAGTGTAGTAGCTCCTGTGTGTGGTAACAGTGGGACAGGAGAGTAATGAGGGTCATAGACATTTTAATGTAAACATTGATGAACTTGATAAGAGAGGAAAGAAAGCGAATAGACAATGTGAGTTTATGAGACAACCACATATTAGTGGTAGCTCCCACTAAATTAGGGTATTGGAAAGAAATGATGTTTTGGAAGATGGGGGGTTCAGTTGGGAGATGGGGCTTGGGTTATATTTTGAACCCACTGACATAGAAATATCAGGATGGCTGCATAGAGTTGTCCAGTTGGCAAGGACGGGAGCCAGGGTGACTACGTTATTTTGAGACTGCTCAACATGTTAGCTGAATGGGTGAGATGGTGATCTTCCCAGTGATGACAGGGACAGGGACAGTGAAGCTCAAACCCTTGAGAGAGGCCAAGAGTCCTGCATGAGGGAGGGAAGGCAGGTTAGCAGAGGGCCGGACCACCTGGAGGCAAGAAGAGGATCAGGAAAGTGCAAGTCACAGAGGCCAAGGACAAATTCAAGAAGAGGAGGAGGCCCAGCAGATTCAGGCCCCCAAGAGTGAATTATGGTTGAGAACTAGACAGATGCCATCAAAATTGACCAGAAGAGATAATTAGTGACTTATTCTCTGATTTGTGTCTTGGCAACCTTGCTCTGGAGCTTAGTGAATATGAAGAGACAGCTTCCATATTAAAGCTGCCAGTGTTTTCCTTTCCTACAGGTAAAGTTGGAGAGTATTTGGAAAGGTCTAAACTCCTGTTACAACTTTTGGAAGGACAAGAGGTTATATGTATCAAGACTCTCTGCTGTATATTCTTTTCTTTTCTAGAAAGTTAAGATTACAATTAGATGTACAAAAATATTGACTATATAAGGATATTCCTCAGAAATTTTCCTTATTTTAAACAATAAGGAAAAACTTAAGTTACAGCATAGATTCATTATATAAAGGGAATACTGGCAGCTGTTAGAAATTATGTTTGAGGAGAATATTTTCATAACCATAGGAAATTCTTATGTAGGAAATGCCATAATAGAATACTACGTGAATAAAATAGGGGGTAAAATATATACAATGTGATCCTAATTTTGTTTTAGAAAGTATCCATGTGTGTGGGGTGCACTTGCATGAGGGGATACAGTTTCAAGCATTAGTCTTTTAAAAATCATTAAAAGGCCAGTATATATAATGTATCTTTAAATAAGAAAGAAGATAATTGATAGATAGGAAACAGAGAGTATTAGTACAGTCCAGGGTTTCTCACATTGTCTCTGGTATAGGGCCAGGCTTGTAAATTTCCAATAAGGTGTGAACTTCCTATATGTTCTTGCTACATGAGAGCAGAATGTAGCTCATGGCACAGTCTATTTGTGATGGATGTTTGGAAACACCTGAACTGATCTATGTGCTGTTCAGTAAGCGTTGTCTGTAATCATGTGCTTGAATATCATTTACCTCTCAAGTTTCTGTTTCGAACATTTGCTTTCCATTTCTGTGCTTATTTTCTCACAGGATAATAAGAAAGTGTCACAAAGTGGCAGTGGTCTATGGACCAGACTTTGAGTGACACTGGCGTAGACTCCTTGTTTGGAGGAGTTGGCACAAGGGAAGGGATGACTGGGAGTAAATCCCACCATGTTTAGAAGTTGTTGTTGCTTGCTAAGAAATGGGGTCCTCTGGGACTTAGAGCTATTTAGAGCTATAGTTCTCCACACACTTGATGCTGTCTGGTCTGAGGTTCTTTTGTGTCTCTGCCTGTGTTGATATAGGTTATGGCCTGGAGGTGGACATGTGGGCTGCAGGTGTGATCCTCTACATACTCCTGTGTGGCTTCCCTCCGTTCCGCAGCCCAGACAGGGACCAGGATGAGCTCTTTAACATCATTCAGCTGGGCCACTTTGAGTTCCTTGCCCCTTACTGGGACAACATCTCTGATGGTGAGATTGGATCTTCCCCAGGTGGGAAGGAGGGCTGTGGGGCCGGATGCCTCCTGGGGTCTGACCACAAGGCAGGTTTTCAGGTCAGATGTGTGATAGACGCAGTACCTGGCATGGAGCAAGGATGGAATCACACATGCCTCAACCTTTATTTCCCATAGCTTCGTCTAGGTGTGTGTAGCACTCTGGAAATATGGAGTTGCTTTGAGATTTAAAAAAAAAAATCTGATCATCAGTTGCAATCACCAAGGGCTTCTCCTTAAGGCAAGTAAAGATCCTCAGAACTGAGAAAGATCAGAAACATGATAATGCTTATTTGGAAAGAGAAGGGCCATTTTGTAGCAGAAATGTTTATGAACTGAACAGACTGAAAATGCTTACTGTACACATGAAGTTGGAGTCTTGTGGGAGATCTGGGATGCAGGGCCTCTGCAAGGTGAGTGGTGACAGTCTGCGTTACATGAACAGCCCTCCTCCTCACTGGATTTCAGTTCCAAGTGGGTTCTTCCCTTCTTTCTCTACAATTTTTCTGCACTACTCGTTACACTTGCAAGTGAGAACTAGATGCTTAATAGATTTGGATCTTTGAATCTTTGGCTTAAAAAGTAGAGTAGGAGAGATGACTTTTTATTTTTATTTTTTGAAATTTCCCCTAAACATGCCATCTGAGTTTACTGAATACCCCTGCCCCAGCTTCTATCTCTGCCCTGGAATTGGGGGCTGAGGGACAGGAAAGCTTCATTGCCACCCGACACCCCCCCCAACACACACACCTTGATTAAAGTAAGAAGAAGATGGCTTGCAATAGCTGCAGTAGAGGGGAGGGGGGAGGTCTTCAAATGATGAAGGTAGTGACAACTTGGGAATGAAGGACTAAAAACTGTCCCACCAGTTATCACCACATCCCTCTAGGACCATCATGGTCCTAGAAAGAAAATGAAATTAGCTTGAATTTGTGTCATTTACTATGTAAATTTCTTCAAACAGTTTTGTAAATATGAAGACATTAATCAACTTAGGAAGAGGGAAAGTTTTTTATTTGAAAACGTGTTAGTTTGTCTTAAAACTTTAAAATAATGTAGACAAGGTATGTGGCCTCTATTGGTTTACTTGCACTGAGTGCATGGATGTTAGAGGTGAACCTGGCTCCCCAGTTCTAGAGAAATAAATAGATATCCTCCAGAGCTGCAGCCCTTGGCCACACATGGATAAATTTAAATGTAAATTACTTCAGAGTAAAAAATAAAAATTCAGTGCCTTGATATTACTAGTCAGACTCAGTAGCAGCAAGTGGTTAGGTGTGTAATGGTTTCATCTTTTTCTTGGATCACACTACTGCTCTAGAATCTGAAAGAGCCTGTTAGCTGCCCATGGTGCTGACATGGATGTGTGTATTCTTACTTCACATATGGGGAGGAAAAATTCAGAACCACTTGCACTCATCACATTTCCCCTTTTTCTTCTACTCACTCAGCTGCCAAAGATCTGGTGAGTCGGTTGCTGGTGGTAGATCCCAAAAAGCGCTACACAGCCCACCAGGTCCTTCAGCATCCCTGGATTGAAACGGCTGGAAAGACCAGCTCAGTGAACCTGCAGAAGGAGGTGTCTCCCAGCAGCGAGGGCCACTCCCGGAGCCAGCACAAGAGGGGCACGGAGCAGACATCATAGTCACTGCCTCAGGCATCCAGCCAGCCTCAGTTCTGCTCAAGGACAGAGAAGAAGGTGGAAAGCTAAGAGCAAAACACCAAGAGATGCTTCTTCACATAATTGGAGAATCAGAAGGAGAGACACTCTGTATTTTAAAGCATATTTAAAAATAAACTGCGTTGATATTAAATGTAATATATTTTTAGATTTGTATGTCTATAGCCTTTAGTACTTTTTTGGGTAAAAATTGTCATCAGTGGGGAATCTTGGTAATGACGATGTGTTTGGCTTCCTCCTTGTGATCAAGTTTGTGGTGTAATACATGTGGTGCTCCAAGCGTCTAAACTCCCCCACAGAATTAATAAGGTGAATCATGGTCTTTCTGTATTAATAAAACATGCTCTGAATAACAGAAGTGGATTTGATTACTTCATAATGCTAGTGACGAGGACCCAGGGGATTATAGTCAGATTCATCTCCTAAAATCAGTATGACTGCATATAAATGGGATAGATGCTTGATTACTTGTAAACAGCTGTTTATATTGGGGATCTCTAGCATTTTACATTGACCAAAAATGAGATCTGGCGCAGTCGGAAATTGGGAGGAATCATTGCATTGTTCTTGCCTCTACAAGACCCAATTATCCCTTAGGCTGAGTCACTTCTCTGTAAAGTCAGGTGCTCAGGCTTTGACTGTGTTAACATTTTCAGATCACAAGGGAGCCATTTAGTTCATTAATATGTCAAAAATGCAGTAAATGGATTATTCAGGGACTTGAAGCAGCTCTGAGTACGCTTACATTACCACTTGCAGAGCACACACACAAAGGGCACAGATTTCAGGTGATGCTGAGGGTATGTGTGAGCTGAAAGCAAAACATATTGGCCAAATTGACCTTTCCAGGTTATGGGTGACCAGGTCAGTGGGCCACAGACTCAGTCAAAGTGTGGGTTTCTCACCCCTCTTTTTGTCAGTATTGGAGTCATTTAGCAGAGGAGTGTTTCAGTCAGGAAAACAGGAAGAGCCTAGAGAATTTAGTAGAAGGAATTGCTTAAAAAGGTGTTGGAAAACAGAGAGCACAAAGGAGACTACAGTAATTTAGAGATTATAACTGCAGGAAGTATCTTTCATTCGCAGATAGAGAACCAAAGGAAGAGGCCGGGCTTATCAGAGTCTAGAAGCGTGGAGGAGAAACTCCTCAGAGTGGGTGCTGTAGTGTGCCACCTAGATCTTCATTCAAACAGAAGGGCATAAGCTCCTTGGATTGCTGAGGATGATGCTGAAGGCTGTGCTGCTTCTGAGCCCTTCTGTGGTTGGCTGAGCCCTTTGTTTAGAAAGCATCGCAGTCCATCTTCTCCCTTGCCCTGTCCTGCTTCTTTTCCCTCTTGCCCAGAGGTGATGACCTGAAGACTACTTTCTAATAAACTGTATGCTATTTTGGATCTCAGAGTTGTATTCCCAAGTAATCAAACCCATGATAATCTTAGAAACTTGAAACACAGCAAAGAGGTCCCAGCCAGAGCTTTATCTCAGGAGCTCAGAGGAGGGCCCCTGTGCAGCTGGACATAAGCCCTGTGCAGCTGGACCTAGGCCCTATTCAGCTGGACCTAGGCCCTGTGCAGCTGGACCTAGGCCCCTGTGCAGCTGGACCTAGGCCCTGTGCAGCGTGACCTAGGTCCTGTGCAGCTGGACCTAGGCCCTGTACAGCTGGACCTGGGCCCTGAGCAGAGGGTGCTGCTCAGCAGGCTGTGCAAAGGTACTCACTCTGAAAATGTGAAGGAGGCTGGAAGCTGGATCCCATTGCTACTGGAACAAACACGTTTTGATAAAGGCACAAGTGACGTCCATGACACTAGAACCCAGAAAGAATGTTCAGTCCTCATTGTTATCACTTGATCCTATTGACTACTTTCTCTGAGTCATTTTCTCCTATTGTCTTCTGTGCTGTCATATTTTGTTGATTTCCTTCCTTCATCTGTGTGTGCTCCTTTGAACCTTATGTATAGGTTCAGTCTTCCAGTTGCTAAAAGTTGGAACGCCATCATTCGTCTCTAGAGAAATGAAAACTAAAACCACAGTTAAAGTACTGCTAAATACCCATTAGAATGGCTAAATTAAGTAGCTAAAATGAAAAGACTGACCATACCAAGTATCAGTGACGATGTGGATTAGCTGAAATTCTTGAACATTGCTGGTGGAAATATAAACTTGTACTCCCCTTGGAGAACAATTGGAAGTTCCTTTAAAGATTAAACATATACCTACCATATGATCTAACTGTTTCACTGCGAGGCATTTACCTATGAGAAATTAAAAAATAACTCCTACAAATACCCACAATATTCACAGGGATGTTATTTATAGTAACCTAAAAGTGGAAACAGCCCAAATGTCCAAAAATTGATGAGTGGGCAAACAAACTGGGATATAGCTATACAGTGAATAATTTTCAGCCACAAAAGAGTGACCTGTTGGCAAAGGAATAATATGAATGTACCTCTAAATAATTAGGGTGAATGAAAGAAATTAGACCAAAAAAAGGGCTATAGTCTCATTAGTCCATTTATATGCTATTCTAGAGAATACAAATTAATCTATGGTGACAGAAAGCAGATTAACAGATTAGTGGTTTCCTGGGGACAGAGATGGGGAGATGAGGGACGGAAGTATTTCATAGAGACACCTAGAAAACTTGGGGGTGATGACTATGTTCAATATCTTTAATGCAATCATGGATGCCTAGCTGCATATACATCAAAACTTATCAAACTATATACTTTTGATATGTGTGTCTATTATACTTCAATAAATCTGTTAAAATATAGTTGTGGTTCATTAAAGACCAGTCCTAGACTCACTTCTCCCTTTATTCTTTACCTTCTCCCTCATCAACCTCATTGATACAGTCTATTTGTGGTTAATTCTCTTCTTCCCTACTAATTTACGTTTCCATTCAAGGCTTCTCCTCTAAGTTCTAGACCCATCTGTCCACCACCTCCATGACATTTTCCTGTATAGGCATTAGGTCCTCCAAGGCAGAATGCAAACATGCTGCTTCTGCATTGCTCCCTATCTCAGGGAATATGCTGTTGAGAAAGTTGAAAACACCAGCATCACACCTGATACTTGGTCTCTAACCCTTGAATTTAGTCCAACTCCACTGCTTTTGAACTTCCTTAGTGTTGCATGAATGTATCCACTTCACCTCCTTAGCTTCTGTCCTGATGGACGTTTAGCTGTTTCTCACTGATTTTGTTTGTTTCTTCTTTTTTGGGGGGGAGGGGTGGTACTGGGGTTTGAACTCAGGGCCTCAGGCTTGCTAGGCAGGTGCTCTACTGCTTGAGCCACTCCACCAGTCCCTGTTTTGTGTTGGGTATTTTGGAGATAGGGCCTCACAAACTATCTGCCTGGGTTGGCTTTGAACTGAGATCCTCCTGATCTTTGCCTCCTGAGTAGCTAGGATTACACTGGTGCCCAGTTCACTGATTCTTTATTATTACAAACATGCTATATTTACCATCCTACAGGCATCCCTTGTGAACATTTGGGAAAGCTTTTCTTAGAGAGAAAATATACTTGACTAGATTTTGCCAACTTGATTTTGAATTAATTTGTCTTTCCATAAGTAGAAATGAAAGTTACGTGTTTTTTCTCATATTTGATGCATGGGTTTGCTTTTTTAGTTACACAAATGTTACTAATCTGGATGTAGTTGAGAAGTGACGACACAGGAGCTGTGTTCTAAGCTGCGGCAGTTGTGTAACACTGTATAGCTATGGAGTGAATTCCAATGTGTATCTGGTTTCCACCTCAGAACAACAATGGCACCAAGAGGTTTGTTCCTCAGGCCTTCGTTATAGATGGGGAGACTGAGGCTCAGAGAAGAGACCTGATTTGCCCACTATCACTTGGTTAACAAAACTTAAATACTAGCTGCAAGGCACAGATCCCAGTACAGAGTGCGGCACCATATCTTCAGTTCCCAGCTCCTGCTCTGCTTCTAATCCAAAGACAGATCCCAAATGCCTATGGGTGAGTGATAGCAAAAGCCCTTTCTGCAGCACAGGTATTTGTCTATAGGCTCCTTTAATGCCTGTCCTAATCCTTTGACATCACAAGGACTTAAGAGTCATGTTTGCAACTACTGGCCAGTACTGTGGGGCATCTCAGATCACATGACACGCTTACCTGTAGATTAACTGAGAGATGATGGTGGATCTGGAAGTAGCTGGGGAGCTGTGGTTTGTCCTTCCAGAGGAGACACTTCCGTGAGTGAGGAAGACCCAGTAGTGACCCTCATATGACTGCCTTCTTTTCCTTGGACTCTTCCTGAGTTTCCTTAGGGCTCCCCTTGAATTATTATTTTTACAAGCATATATTAATTGTACAAAGGGGTGTCATTGTGATGTTTCCATACATGCATACAATATACTTTGATCAAATTTACCCCTCTATTTCTCTTTCTTATCCTTCCTGCTCCCTTTTAAAAACAATTTTAACAGGTTTCATCATTCTGTTTTCATATATGCTTATAAAGTATTTCAATCATGTTCACCCCTCCTTCACTTTCTTCTTTCTCTCTTTCCCCTTCTACTAGTTTCCACCCTCAAATGGTCCTTATTTTATACTCTTGTCATTCATTTTTTAAGGTCTAGATTCCATACAAGACAGAGAACATGCAATATTTGTCTTTCTCCATCTGGCTTATTTCACTTGACATGATGATCTTCATCTGCATTCATTTTCCTGCAAATGACATAAGCTTATTCTTCTTTATGGCTAAATAATTCTCCATACTGTATAAATACCACATTTTTTTTTGGCAGCACTGGAGGTTTGAACTTAGGGCTTCATGCTTGGGAGGCAGGTGCTCTACCACTTGAGCCACTCCACCAGCCCTCCACATTTTCTTTATCCATTCATCAATTGATAGGCATCAAGGACAATTCCGTACTTTGACTGCTGTGAATAGTGCTGCTATAAACAGGTATGCAGGTGTCTCTATTGTATCCCTGCTCACATTCCTTCAGCTACATGCTTAGGAGTGGTATGGCAGGATTACGTGGTCATTCTGTTTAGTTTCTTGGGGAACTTCCATACTGATTTCCTAGAGACTACCCTGATTTTCATTCATGCGGGATTCTTTTCTCCTGCACCCTCATCATAATTTGTTATTGTTTGTTTTCTTGATGATAGTCATTTTGACTGGGGTGAGATGGAATCCCAACGTCCTTTTAATTTGCATTTCCTTTATGGCTAAAGATTCCAAACATTTCTTAATGTATTTAATTTGCCATTTGTACTTATTCATTTGATAATTGTGCAATTAATCTGCCCATTTGCTAATTGAATTGCTTATTCTCTGCCCTTCTCCTGCCATGGTCCTGGGATTTAAACTCAGGGCCTTG